TATAGTCTGAGGCTGATAGATAAACTCTAATCTTCCCTAGTAAATATAAATATCTCACTTTTTTTTTTTCAGTACTGGGGATTGAACCCAGGGGCACTTATTAGCCCCNAAAAGTTTAATATAGTAAATACAGAATTAGTCATGTAGTTGTTTATTATCATTCTCAAATGTTATGTACTATTCCTCATTGTATGCTCTATACGTTTGTACCATTGGCAGTGCATTAGGTTTGTCTATACTGGCATCACCATGAACATGCATTCATTGAGCTACCACATTATCATGGTTATGATGTCAATTGGTGATAGGAATTTTTCAGCTGCAYTTAAATATTATGGGTCCACTGTGGTATATGTGGTTCGTCATYAACTGAAATGCTGTTGCTAGTTACAGAGCTGTGTGAAGATGAGGTATAGAGTACAATGAAGCGGAAGGGAGGAGACTGGAAAGTTGCTGGTAACCAGAGGCTAAGCATATGAGGGGAAAGAGCGAGAGCTAGATGCTGCAGCAATGGGAATGGGAAAGGCTAATGGGACAACCATGGTCTTGGGAACCCAAGAGCAGAAATAGTCTCTTCTAAAGGCAAAGARTTCCCATCCTGGAGTAGTGATGGAGGCCTCCCCTGCCACCCAGCAGTGGGATGTCTGGAAACAGGAGAGGGCATCAGAGCATTACCCTGAGGGTTCAGGTGAGGAGTTCCATTGGTTTCCCCAAAGCATCTCTGCTTTTGGAGTCTATGTGGCATGCCATTCTCATGACGTATGTTAGGGCAAGTGGCCCTGCCAGCTGCAGCAAGGAGAATGTGAGTGCCTAGTTATTTGGGAGTATAAGGATCTGCAGGGATTGGAAATCTTTGAAGCCAGTCATAACAAGGCAGGCAAAGAGAAAGAAGAAAAAGCTAGTATGCAAAGTCACTTAAAGTAAGAGAAAAAGCATAAAGGTGGAAATGTTTAAAAGGAGGCGTGAGTGCTCTTACCACATATGGGAGCCTTAGAACCCTGACATCTCTTCAAGAGCATATGTACTTCCAGTAGTCACCCAAAATTATGGCAGAACTGACATAAACCATGGGTGGGCAGAATAACATATTAAACCAATGTTCTTTTGGGTTTTTCTATTTATTTGAAAAGAAAAATTTTGTTACTTGACAGTTTTATGGTGCTGTGATTTCCAGGGCAGTACATATAATGTGTTTGAAAAACATCTGCTTTGAAATATAATAAAACCCTCAATAATATGGAATTAGGTTGGTGAGAGGGAGAAGTATTGTTATAGCTAATGAAAATTTAAATTTTTTTAAAGAAATAATTGTGTCTGATTATTGAGGCACTTGAAACCAGGCTAATAAAAATTTCCACTTTAAGGTCTAGAAACCTACATTTTTTTTAAATCCATGGTTGGGGTAAAATATGTTTTGCTTTTAAGAGTTAGGGCTGGATGTTACTGTTTACAAAGTAGTTCTAAAAATGTTTGGAATCAGTTTGCATTTACAAGTTGGTCAAGAAAGCATGTTCTGTACACATTTTTATTTTCACTTGTCTAGAGGTTGATTGAACAGGCACACCTCTGATTTTTTTAGAGCCATAATGGGAAGCTCMTTCCTCCTTCAAGGTAGTAGTCCCTTGTTGTTCTTCCCCCTGTGTATAACACCAGTTAGGGCTTTCTGGCTTTGGATTCAGAGTTCCAATATCCTGGGACTTCTTGAGAATAATTCCACGGGAATTARTCCTAGGCATCTAGCAGAAAGTTGTTAGCACAACAGAAATAACAGGGATATAGTCCCATTTGGAGCAGGAGCCTTCCCTGGTAAGACAGGGTTAGGAACTAAAAATAGTAGTTCTTAGTAACCAGAAATGGCAGAATTTGGGCACTCACCTGGTTTCCATTTCTTATCACTTGTTTAGCAAACCTTTTTATCACTCAGGTTAAATATGCCTAATCTGGCTGGCTGTGGTGGCACACAACTGCAATCCCAATAACCCAGAGAGTATYACAGGTCCTAGGCCAGCCTCAGCAACTTAGAGAGGTCTTAAGCAACTTGATGAGACCCTGTCTCAAAATAAAACATAAAAAGGACTGGGGGTGTGGCTCAGTGGTAAAACATCCCTGAGTTCAATACATAGCATTCCCCTCCCCTGCAAATTCCTGATCAGAAACCTTGAATCCAGAATATATCAAAACTTTTTGAGCACTTATATAAATTCCATATCATGAAACCTTGTTTTGTTATCAAAATTATTAAGAATATTTTGTAAAAAGCTGGGGATATAGCTCAATGGTAGAATGCTTCAATGCTTGCCTAGAATTTGCAAGGCCCTTGGTTTGATCTTCAGTACAAAAAAAAAAAAAAAAGAATTTGTATAAAACTATCTTCAGGCTTTACATATAAGGTATATATAAAACATAAATGAATTTCATGTTCTGATTTGGATCTCATCCTGAAGACATATCATTATGTATATACAAATATTCCAAAATCTGAGAAAATTCAAAATCCAAAGTACTTCTGGTCTCACACATCTTAGACAAGGGATACTCAACTTGTAATTAATACAAAGCTTACGTGATCTATGGCAAATGAATTTTTCTTATAATACTCTAAAGAGCACATGAAAGTCTCCTCCATTTTCAAATTACCAAAGATTTCTTTAGCAACATTACAAAAAGCTAATTTTTATATTTCAGTACCAAAACTGTAGTCAGTTTGGTTAACTTGGATCAATGAGATCAGAACCAACCAGTTAGTTCCAGATAAAATGTTTACACTAGCCATTTATAGATATCTTTTTAATGTTTTACTTTAAAACAAATAATCCCAGTAAAAGAGAGCAAAGGAAATTACATTTTAATGATAACTTGAAATGGATACCATATTCCTGATTTATTTGTTTTCAGGAAACAGACAATTGCATTGTCGTACATGACTTTTAGAATTGCTCACTTAAATGCACATAATTATATTAAGTTTCTCTTACAAAAACACAACCATGTCATTTAAGGCAAAAAATATCAGCTTCTGGGGAGTTAAGTTAATATCTGCAATATTTCCTCAATGTGATTGAATGAAGTGATCCATCTATTTAGTCGCCCAGGTTTCTTCATTCTTTGCAGTTTGCTTTGCACATGGGTAGGAGACTTAATCACTTAGTGCCTGATTTCCTTCTCATTATTAGGCTTGTTTGACTTTCAAATTAAGAACTTTCGAAATCACTGAGTCAGTGGGAGGTGAGAAAGGCACCTTAGAATAAGAGATAAGGACTTAAAAACTGAGGAAAGTGTCTTACTTTAAACAAAACTTGCAATCTACAGGTATCAATTTAATTGAACAAAATGCAAACATTTAGATAAGACATAGCAAAAATTTTTAATTAACCTCATACATGGGATATTTGCAATTAATTATTAGCTTGATCAAGCCTACATGTTGAAGAAGGCGGACAAACCTGAACTGAGAAAGCTTGTGGCTACTCAGTACTCAGCAAAATTGTGCTTCAAGACACCATTTGGGATTGACCAATGGGGTTTTGCTAAGTGTAAATGGGAGACCCCTCTCATTTCCATAGAGTGACACAACAGACAATCTACAGTTTTCACATTATACAACTATCTTAACATCCAAGAGATTTTTTCTTTGTGCGAGAGTAAGATAGACAAAATGGTCATGGCTTCGATGCATAAAAGTTTTCCACAATATAATTTATCACATTTTGCTATGATTAAGACCTCAGTGATGTGTTTAGGCATTGTTTCTGAATCTCCAGTCTTCAGCAATGCTGGATCAACTGTTCTGTGTTTGAGGCCTAAGAAGGCCTAAGAAGGGGTCCCTGATACATTCAGAATTCCTGCTGCCAGTGGGGTTCAACCTGGGACAGAGTATGTCCAAGAATCAGTGCTACCTGAAAGGCGCTGCCTACCTCTTCTTCCTCTGCTAATATTTGGAGAGAACCTGCTGAGTACAGGGCAGGTGTCTGGCTTTAGGTCTGTGGATGGGTGTGTGTGTGGGCAATGTCCTTGGGAAGATATGTCAGAACTTCAGGTTGAGTAGAGACAAGGGTAGATGAAAATTTGCATTTAATAATTGACTAACATTCTATGTTTGGAAAATGAAAATAATAACCTTCAAAGCTTGACAAAATATTTTTAACTGGAGTGTAAAATTTAGATTCTATCTTCTGTGTATCTCCARTAGCCAAGAAGGTTCTGAATGATACACTCCAAGGGATTGTATTAGGATCCAAGTGGGGTGAGAAGAGGAAGCTTTTACAATTTCAGTGTTTATCAAAAGGGACAAAAATTTTAAAAATGTTGAAAAGCATTTTTAGGTAGAGAGCAGAACTGGTTTCCTTGGGGATGGGTGCTGGGTAAGGCCTAGTGAAATTTCAAAGCAAAATAGTGGTAGGAATAAATAAGCAGTCCAGGAAGAAGAAAAGATAGTGATAGAGAAACTTCTGTTAGGGGTGACTTGGGAAGGATTGCTGGATTTCAGGGCCTCTTTTCTTTGAATGGCCAGTTGTTACTATTCCTGGTCATTTTCCCTGGCTGCTGGAAAAGTTTGCCTGGAGGCAGCTCAGAGGTTTGCCAAGGGAAAAACTCTTCCTTTTCTTTCTTGAGTTTAACTGATTTGAAATGTTCTTTTACCTCTCTTTGCCTCTGGCCCAGGTTCTGATCATCTGAGAGAGCTAGGTTTCTAAAAACCAGTCTGCATTTCTTTCTTTCTTTTTTTTTTTTTTTTGTACTGGGAATTGAACCCAGAGGCACTTTACAATTGAGCCTTATCTCTACTTATTTTAATTTTTTTTTTTTTTTTTAAATTTTGAGACAGGGTCTCACTAAGGTGCTTAGGGCCACACTAAATTGCTGAGGCTGACCTGGAACTTTCGACCCTCCTGCCTCAGCCTCTTGAGTTGCTGGGAATACCGTGCGCCACAGCACCTGGCCATTTTTCACTTTCTGCTAAATGCATTTTAAATTTCCTTTCCCTGATCTTTTTGCTGCACTGATATATTATTAAGTGTGGTGATTAGCGGACCCTGCAGTGCTATCTGGCTTCTTAATTGTGAATGTTTATACAAGGAAACCAAACTGGTAATTTCAGATTTGGGACAACATTCTCAGGGACAATACAAAGTGTTTACTACAGTATAAAAAGTGAAGGAACCTTTAGTTTTAGCCTTTCATATGCAAAAATGTAAGACATAATAGCAAAAGACATTCAGGGTATATTAAAAAATAAATAACTTGCAAAATTCTCTGTTTCTATATAAGAATAAGGGATGCTTAGGCAGTTGAATTCCCTAGCAATACTCATTATCCAAAAAATTGATTTCTTTTATTTTGGTTTGTTTCTCTCCTTCCCTCTCACTGCCTTTTAAGGGAGAAGTAATTTTCTGAACATTGTCTACTTCCTGGTGTTATTTCTGGCTTCTTTTTAAGCATTTTTTTTTCTCTTAGTTCCACTTAACTGTCCCCCTCCCCAGGGTCCTACCTGTGTGTTGGCTAAATGGCAATAGCTCCTCACACTTGCCCTTCACGTGGCCAGGATTGGCAAACCTGGGGTTGGTGCCATTGCAGAGATGCCCAGTCACACTGGCTATTCTACTCATCAGTGTTTCATGCATGTGTATAGAAGCTGACCACTCATATAGAGTTGAATCTGCCATCAGGGAATATGTTTCCATAAAGTCAAATATGTCAGATAGTGAGTCTATTTGCCCTGCTGGTCCTGAATTTCATTATTTGCAAATTTTCTAAATGAAAAACATTCTTGTCATAAAGAACAACATGAAAATGATGTGCAAAATTGCTTGCCACAGCGCTAAATCACCAAAAGCGTACAAACTGACACTCAAATTACATTAATAATAAAATGACTGAATAGAAATGGGTTGGCAAATATATCTTGAAATAAGCAGCCATTTCTGTTATTCCCAAATTCTGTTTTACTTGATACCTTGTTAGCAGCTATTGAGAGCCATTATGTTTAAATACACATTATGGCCTAATTTTGAAAATGTATTTCGTATTTAGTTACAAAGCAGAAATGCCTGAAATTTGAAAGTGTTTTCTTCCACAATTTCAAAGTACAGTGTTGAAACTTCTAAATCACCTAATCTTGACGTTTTCATATACCCCATAGCATTAGCAGTGTTTGGTTTCTGATGATTTTTAAACTCAAGGTACATTACTAAATGAGTGGGTTAATGTCGATGCACCTCGGAATTTCAGCCATCCCTAAACATGCATTTTCATGCAATTAAAAGATAACGGGCTTATAAACTGCCTTTCATGTTCTTCCTGATTCTTGCAATTTCAACTTTTTAGGAGGGCTTTCAAAAGAGTTCATGCAATGATATGTATGGCTAAAGGAACTGCTATGCCTAGAAAGAAAACAAAGAGCTTATTTCAGTTTGACATGAGGCAAGCTGAGGGCGTCTGTACTTTCTCCTGCCTTACAAATGCTCTGAGATGATCGGGATCTTCCAGTCCTTAGAGAGTCTGATGCAAAAGCAGCTTCCCTGGCTGGCTGCGGGGTGGCATCGAAAGTGTCTGTCTCTACCTCTTCGGGACCCACCTCTTCATCAGTTATAAACAATTTGGACTCCCTCCACTTGGGGTAAAAATCTTGGCTGCCTCTGGAGCCACTTGACTCACTCCCTGAAAGCTGTAAATTCAGTTCCTCTGTCGACCTAATCAGGTTTTGTACAGACAAAGATTTGCCCAAGTCCTTGGGCACCATGGGACGGACGGACAACAGAGTTTCTCCTCCCATGTCAAAGCTTTTCCGCAGGGAACGGTCCTTTGTCAGATTTGACTGTGCAACCTGAACATTTTCCTTGGAGGCAACAAGGCAGGTGGTGACGTCAGCAATGCTTTCCTGTAAGCCTGCGGGGTTTGGGTGCAGAGTCTCTGGCCTGGTCAGATGCTTGATGGCTGGGAGAGGAGGCGGGATCTGTAAAGTTGTTGGGGCTGCTGGCTTGGGTGCCGCATTTATTTGGTTTGCAATGTTGCTGGTGGCCGCCACTGCGGAGCCGTCACTTTGACTCATTGGCACCTGGGTTGCTTGACTGTGCATAGTAGGGCTAAGCGCATAGAAAGTCTGAGCGCTGAATTCGTTTGGCGTCAGAATGAACTGCAGGCCTCGCGAGATGTTGGCACTAGCTGATCTGGTTAGGCAGCCACTGTTCTGCGCAGAACTGGACAGGTCTTTGCTATCCACAGGGCTTTGATAATCAGATGTCTGTTCACATTCAAAAGATGGGATCTGGAATGAAGCCAAAGTGAGGGCTGAGGCAGAGCCTTTCCGGAGGACCTGTTGGTAGATGTCCAGCAGGCAGTCCAGCTTGGACTCAATGGACTGGACCTAAAAGGAGGGAAATGGTTACATATGAGGACGACCTGCTGTGAAGAATGAATCTCACTTCTGGAATTAAAATCACAGAGTGTGTCAATACAAAATAAATGAATAGAGTGTAAAGTGAAATGCAGTTTGGACTCAGTGAATGTAGCATCTGGCAGTGATGGGGCAGGGAAGGTTAAAAGGGGGGAGAGATACTTTGGCTTCCATATAATTTCCTTTGTCCAGCCCCCTCCACTTCCTTAAAATGGATGATTGGTGTTCTGAAAAGGTATATAAGCACTATAAAAATGTGACTTGAAGGTTCCCCAACCCAGTCAGATTGCCTTTCCCAGCCCCATTGATCCACTTTCTGGAACCTGACTGCATTTTAATAAGGAATTTATTCTATAGTGAAATTAAGACCGAAGTATCAATCCAGGTGAGTCTGAGTTTAAAAATAAAGGCACAAAAATGCTTCAGGATTAATACTTGGAGTATTTATGATTCTTTTGGGAGAACAATTTKATTTCTGGAATTTTTTTTTKGTTCTGGGGATTGAACCCAGGGCCTTATACATGTGAGGAAAGCACTCTACCAACTGAGCTATATCCCCAGCCCTGAAAAATTGTTTTTATATGAGAAGATTACACTCTGGGTTACCAAAAATTCAATGTGTTATCACAGGTTCTACCTTATTTTTAAAAAGAGTGACCTAAAGGCCAATAAAAATAACCAAAACACAAAGGACAAGTAGATCTTTGCTATTTTACTACTGAAAATCTATAGTTGCTTCATAAAATTTTATATTCTTTATATGGAAATCCAAAGAAATGTTTTGGAGAATACTGTCAATGTACTGAGGAAGTTTAACACCATTCATTCTTTATTTTGTTCATTAATTTTTTTCCCTTTATATATATAAATATATAAACTATATTTCCATATATGTGGAAAATATATATAAAATAATATATATATGTATTATTTAGAGAATATCTATCTATCTATCTATCTATCTATCTATCTATCTATCTATCTATCTATCTATATCCCTTGTGGAAAATATATATAAAATTATATATATATATATATTTTTTTTTTTAAGAGAATATCTATCTATCTTTATCTATATCTATATCTATCTATCTATATCTATCTATCTATCTATCTATCTATCTATCTATCTATCTATCCCTTATCCCTAGGTGTATACATTCTAGGAAAGTGCTTTACTACTAAGCAACCTCTTTTCCCTATTTTCATTCCTTTTAAATATGTCAATCATTACAAAAGATCCAATTGCCTGTAATCTATTTTGATAAAAAAAATCTGGCTTAGAAGTTAATTAGTGTGGTTGAGTTGTACCTGTTTTTCAACTTTGACCACCCGGCCGAGCATACTGAGGTCATCTGTGGTCTCGTGTTCTGCTGTTATTTTCTCTCGGCTCTTCTTATCTGATGTGATTTGCCCTTTTCCAAGAATTTGATCAACACTACCAGAGAAAGAGGATATCTGATTATTAACACTGAAGATGAAGATTGTCCTAGGCCAGAGTGAAGTGTTTTCAATAGAAGAATTAAATACAAGTATCTTTAATTCATGTAAGTTGAGTGTGTTGTAGTTGATATGCCTTTTTTCTTTCCTTTTTTTTGGTACTGGGGATTGAACCCAGGGGCCTTTACCACTGAGCCACATCCCCAGCCCTTCTTAATTTTTATTTGAGACAGAGTCTCACTAAGTTGCTTATAATCTCACTAAATTGATGAGGCTGGCCTGGAACTTGTGATCCTCCAGTCTCTGCCTCCTGAGCCACTGGGATTAYAGGCATGTGCCACTGTGCCAGGCTGATGTGCTTATTTTCTTAACATGAGGTTACATATGAGATTAATTTTCTCAATATTCTGGTCCATGATGAAGTCACCTATGGGTAATTTTCTGGAGGCAAAACTGTTTTTAAACAAAGTAACTTGCTCATTTCTACCTTGGACCAGGCAGTTTCTTAATTCAACCACTTAAAAATATGAAAAAAATCATAACTATGATGATTTTGTATTATAGAACAGATTGTCCATTAAAGATTTATTGTATATCTGATATTGGATGATAAGCAGATAAGAAAGCAACAGTCTCTTTCTTTTAGAATTTGARTGAGAGAATATACATGAGGTAGAAATTCTAGATTAGTTCTACAAATTCTGTAGCAGTTCAACTTTGTAAAAATCATCAGATTGTTCTATTAAAGGACTTGTAAGATCATGGCTGCCTAGGCAGAGATTAGAATACAATGGGTTAAAGTAATTTTCAAGGAGACTTGATCAGTCTCCTTGAAATGGGAATCACTTTCCTCTTTTTGTGGAAAGTTTGTTTTAGAATTGAATTATCAGGGATATTGACTCAATTTTCCAGTTTGCTTTGCTTGCACAGAAACATAGGCAGTGACTTCTTTCTGTTATGATATCTAATGTATTACACTATAAGCTCTGCAAGAACTGAGTCATTATTTTATTAATCACTAAATGTCCAGCATGCCTGGCAAACATAATGGGCTCAATATTTATCTGCTGAATGAATGTGCAAGTTGTGATTTCTATAATAGATCAGCAGGCATTTTACTAAAGTTCTGGTATATGATTCACTCTAAGCTAAGGTGTTCTGTGGGGACGAAAAAACCATTTAATCTTAGGTCCTTGCACTTTAAGAGCTATTCAATCACAAATGTTGTTTTGTCTGAATATAAAGCAAGATTCTTTAAAAAACCTGATTGACTAAATATTTGGCTTGAAGATGCCACAATMAACCACATGTGGTTGGAATTAACATGTTGAACTCATCATTCATTTCAATCATTCAATAAGAGCTCACTGGAAGAAAAACATTTATCTATCACTGTACCTGAAGGCAACGAAGAAAAGGCCCTATCTAAGTGGACAGCCAGGGRGAGTACGCTTGCAACCAAATAACAGTACAGGGGTTGAGTCTCAACTCTCTGGTCTATCMCACCAAAATTATGAGTGGGCCTTGGCTCTGTATTAGACTTTAGTGCTGCAAGAGGTCAGAGAAGAGAAAGATCTGTCTTCCTGGGCTAGATAGTTGGGTAAAGTTTAGTTAAGGAGAAAGATTAGCTTAATATTGATTGGTTTTGAAAATAACAAAGTGATTGCAACATCGGCAATAATTCATACATCAGCAACATTCATTGACTTTTATTGAACACTCAGTGCCAGGGCTATTACATAYATGAGTTACATGCATTAAATTGTTCAATACTAAGAATCACCCCAGGAGGTAAGCACTATCATTCTCTCCATTTTTCAGATGAGGAGACTGAGATGGCAGGAGGCTTTTAGTGGCTGATTTACATCTATGTTAAAAGCAAAGTAAAATCTACATTAAAACAAAAGTCCAGTTGCCCACTAAAAATAAATTAGGAATATGGAATCCAGAGGTTTTGTCTGCTAAAGAGAAGTTGCTCCCAGATGGTTTTCATGCTTGTTCCTTTACAAYGAATAACGTTTTTGTTGCTTACCGTGTTTGAAGGCTTTTAATTCTACATAGCATGTCCAGGTGACCAGCAGAATATTGTTCAATGACATCTTTTACATCATATGGGCGTAATGTTTCCTTAAATTTCCGTTTGGCCACATGAAATTTCATAATTCTGTATGAACAACATATTATGTATTAATTTTCATGGCTTTGCTAAAAGAAGGGGCCAAAATAGTTTACTGAGAAATATAAGAAACACTGGAGGGTAAAAGTCATGCATTAAATTATTTTAAGCCCCTACAGAAATGACATATAAGACTGAGATTACAGAGGACAATCTAAGAACATTTCTTGTCAGACACACCTTAAGAGTAGAAACAATACACTAAAAAAAAAAAAAAAGTATTGTCCATTGAAACCTCAGATTAAAACTATAGTTGAAATGCAAATGCACTCTTTCCCTGGGATCCCACAAGTCCAAGATGTAACACCTAGACTGTTCAAATGGACTTTTATATAACTACATGCATTTTTGGAACACAAATGTGTTTTGAAAACTCTTTTATTCTCCTGAAGCAATGTACACTGATGCATGGAAATTTGTGAATTTTTTTTCATAAATTATTTCTGCATTATATTGCTGGATTAGCTAAGTTATTTTATGTCAAACACAACATACTTAGCAACTAAGCTTGGTATCTAAGCTTTTAAGAAGCAGAGGCCTTTTTTAAAAAAAAATAGTTTTCAGTTGTCAATGGATTTTTTTTTTTAAATTTATGTATATGTGGTGCTGAGAATGAAACCCAGTGTCTTTCACTTGCTAGGCAAGCTCTCTACCACTGAGCCACAACCCCAGCCCCAGAGGTCTTGTATTATAATGCCTCCCTCCCCTTAMCAGGAGCCCCTGGTTTTGAAACAATATTTCATCAGTAACCTCCATGGTGCTAATGATAGCTAATCTGCTTAAGATAACCAGTTACTGCAATAACTTCATAAAATTCCTGATGAAAGYAAAGAAGCATTGTCAACTTAAGTTAGCCTATGCAGTCTTGTTGCAGGAAAATGTTATATATACCTATTGGTGTTGTTCAACTATTTAAAGACTCATACACTCCTATTATCAAATTCATGGTTACCAGGCTAAAATTTATTGTTCCTTGGTGAAAAGTGGAAAGTTGAGGAAGATTAGAGTTTAAAAAGAAAATATCCATTACCAATCCTAAGTGACAGCTTATTTCAACTAATCTAAATTGATTTATAAGTTAAAGAGCACAAACCCTACCTTGTATTGTTAACTTCAAGTTAATTATATCCCAACTATTGTCAAATCACTTATCTGTAATATTCTTACTCCCTCTCTTGACCATATTTTCTTCACCAATGTCTACTTCATTCAGGATAAGCTCTCCCCTGCCCCTGCACACACCCCAAACACAGTTAGACAGAATTATTCAGAGAAAGTAAAAGAAATCTGTTTTAATTTAACTTTTTGATATGTAGATTTGCTTATGAATTTGTTTGCCAATTTAGGTTCCATTGGGGCACAGTTTCTGGGGTTGGCAAAAACCTGTGAAAATTCTACCCAAGCAATTACTATGTAAATATGTTCCCCTACACCAAAGTGTCAATTAGTATAGGCAGAAGCCTATCTTTTATCCAACAGTCAGTGCATAATAAGTTAGTTTTTTTAAAAACTATCACTATTCCTATTGCAGCTGTTACCACGGCTATTCTTCAACGTTGTGTGTTTGGAGTTTAGTGTAGCTCTTGACATAGCAGGAGGAAGGACGGGAACCAATACAGAAAACATCCTCTATTCTGGATCATGTTACCAACAAACCTGGGAGAAGATCTAATTKAACAGTCCAGAATCCTTCTTTGCTATTTTCAAAGTGGCTATTTGTCCCTGGGTGAGCAAGAAAGAAACTCGTCTTCATACATCCCTAGGTGGTTTTATGGTTTTAGTTAGAACAGTGGACCCTCTGCCAAGTGAAGTGTGTTGCGTGTTTTATCTTCAGCTGTACTTGATAAGATATTCTTTTTTATCTTCTATATTTCAGGAAACTGAGATTCAAAGAATTTAAGTGACTTGCCCCTTTGCAACCAGCACAATGTAAAGCCAGGATCCGCCTCACACCCGTCTGGTTCTCCTGCCCACCTGACCTGGTTTCCCATGGCATCAACTCCGGAGAAGTAAGAAGGTGGCCTGGGACCTTCAGCAGTTCCTTCTTTCCCTCTGTGGCAGTGAAGGGACAAGTTTCAGCACAAATCAGCATGTTCCCACTGACTGGAGCTCAGGCAATGGTGGCATGTTTGTCCAGTGGCAAGAGTGAACCCCCACTCTTCCAAACTGAATTACCTTTTTTTCCCCCTAAAGAGGCTCACAGTTATTTCTTGGTCAGGTGTTGTGTGAGTTCTGTATGACAATGCATTTCAAAGTTGCATGTTGCTTTTCTCTTTTTTTAAAATTAACATTATCATTGTTATTATTTTATTAGAGCTTATAGTTATACATAGTAGTTGGGTTCATCCTGACAAACTCAAACATGCATGGAGATTGATTTCACTTCATGATCCCCCACTCCATCCCTCCTATCTTCCCTACCCCCTCCCATTCTCTTTCTTCTACTTGACTTCCTTTTGTTCATCTATTAATTTGTTTGATTGATTCTTTACGTTATCCTATCTTTCCCTTCCCCTTTCCTTTCCTTTACTCTAGCTTCCACATGTGAGAGAAAACATTTGACCTTTGGGTTTCTGAGTTTAGCTTATGTCACTTAGCATGATATTAAAAATTATTATTTTAATTATACGAATTGATGGTGTACAATGTGATAATTTTATACATGTATACAGTATGTGATGGTCAAGTCAGGATAGTTAATATTTCTGTCTCCTTAAACATTTGAAGATATTTTTGATTAACATGTAATTACTAAACATATTTATGGTGTGCCTTGTGATATTTCAGTATATGTACTGAACGAATCATGGAGATTCATATTTATATTTTTTCATCATTGCTTTGTGATTGGAGCCTTTTAGATCCTCTCTTCTTATTCTTTGTAAAACATGTAATAGGTCATTGTAAACTTATCACCCCACTGTTCTGTAGACACATTACTTCTATCTACTTGTGTTTGGGTATCTGTTAGCCAACTTGCATATATGTACTCCTCTCCACCCTTCCCAGCCTCCAGTAGTCACTATTATACATCCTAATTGACTTAAGAAAAAAATATTCACATGTGAGGGAGAATGTGTGGTATCTGTCTTTCTGTGTCTAACTTATTTCACTTAGCATAATGTCCTCCAGTTCCGTTCATTTTGCTGCAAATGATGAGATATCATTCCTTTTTATGGTTAGATACTATTCCATTGTGTATATGTGTCTCATTTTCATTATCCATTCATCCATTAATGAGCATCTGGGTTGATTCTGTATCTTAGCTACTGAAAATAGTATAGCAACAAACATGGTGGCTCAGGTCTCTTTGCTATGCTGATATAATTTCCTTTGAATGATTGTACCTAGAAATGGGACAGCTGTATCATATAGTAGATCTATTATTAGTTTCTTGAGGAATGGTTCTCCTTAGCAGCTGTACTAATTTACATTCCCATCAACCTTATATGAGAATATGAGAGTTTCCTTTTCTTCACATCCTTACCAGCATTTATTATTTTTTGACTTTTTGATAATGGCCTTTCTAACTGGAGGGAAATGATATCTCACTGTGTTTTTTTGTTTGTTTGTTTAGTTTTGGTTGGTACAAGGATTGAACTCCACATCCGCAGTCCTATTTTATATTTTATTTAGACAGGATTTCACTGAATTGCTTGGCGCCTCACCATTGCTGAGGCTGGCTTTGAACTTGCAATCCTCCTGTCTAAGCTTCTTGAACCACTAGGATTACAGGCGTGGGCCACTGTACCTGGCTCATTGTGGTTTTAGACTTGCGTCTCCCTGAAGGCTAATGAAGTTGAGCATTTTTACATAAATTTGTTAACTATTTGAGTTTAATTTTTTGAGAACTGTCTACTTATATTTTTAAATTGGATGATTTGATTTTTGTTATTGAGTTTTATTCATTTATTTTTTCAATACTGGGGATTGAATTCAGGGGTGCTCTACCACTGAGCTACCTCCCCAGCTCTTTTTAAATTTTATTTTGTGATAAGGTCTTGTCARTCCCAGGCTGGCTTTGAACTTGCAATCCTTCTGCCTCAGCCTCCTGAGTAGCTGGGATTACTGGCATGTATCATCACACATGGCTGGTATTATTTTTTTTCAATTTTATTTTATTTTTAAAATTTATTCTAATTTGTTATATATGACAGCAGAATGCATTTCAATTTATATTACATATATGTAGTGTTATTGAACTTTAAAGTTCCTAATGTATTTTGGATATATCTTACCCTTATGAGATGAAGTTTGCAAAATGCTTTTCTCTTTTTCTTTCAGAAGTACATTTGACAGACAATATTTCTCCCTCATTCATATTTTATATAGCCCTTAAATAATTTCACTTTTACTTAGACAACTTATTATTTATGTGCTAGCCACATTAATGAAAATCCATTTTATAGTTTTGATCAATATTTATCATTTTGATCAATATTAAAAAAGAAACTGATTACCATTTATGTTATTTCAGTATAGCCATATGATGATAGTTATGTAAAGTTGATTTAAAAATTCCTAAATAGCTTACTATTTATTACATATCATACAATTCCTCAGGAGGTACTGCTTTGTCTTATGTGCTTTATTTACAGATTTTCATACTTTATGTACCAGAATGAAATGGTGAAAACTGGATTAATAACTATCATTTCAATTCTTTGGAAAAGAGTAATATATACAGTGATGGGCTGTAGTAGGCTGGTACTTACTCCTAAGAGCTGGTTCTTGAAATTGTTAGGAATTTTTATCGTTGTTAAATATAGCCAATATTAAAATTTAAATCTTATAAACTTACAGTCAAATACATTGTATTAAAAACAAAGACAATACATACTCAAAACTCACCATTTCCTAATTATTTTATTAATATTGCTCTTTTATGGTCCTGCATTGTTCCTTCCATCTTTGTATCACTGTGGTAGAMATCCTACCTAATGATATAATGCTGCACATCTCTTTTCAATTCCAGGATTAGGGATAGC